ATACCTCCACGAAAACTGCCGAGAGGAGGAAATCGTAGAGTGCAGGTTTTGGCGGAACCCTTACCCAAGCAACATGAAAACGAGATAGTTTTGGGTAAATTACACCTAGACCCCCTGTGGTTAGGTCATATTACACCTATATGAACATTTTGGTTTTAGATTTCACTTGTATATGAATTAGTGATTTAGCATTTCACTTGCACCCCAAATATGAATTTTAGGACTTTTGAAGTGTTAAAAGACTATACTACCCTTTGGCCTCATATTTGTGACCAAACTACCCATGACCCCTCCCCCGGTGAACCTTCCTCTCTCTCTCTCTACCTCTCTTTTTCCCCTTTCTCTCTCCCTTCTCACAAACCCTCACAACAGATACGCAAATACACACTGACCCAGTTCCGGCGAAACAAAACTCAATTCCGGCGACCTCAGTTCATATCAGCGTGTTCCCAAGCGACGACAAAGCAACGACGGGCGTCTAGTCAGAGCAATCAGCGATGACGACGTCGGATGTGGCTGTGGGTTGTGGAGCTGTGATGCGGCGGGCCGGCGGGGGTGGTATATGGTGTGGGTGATATATATATGTGTGTGTGATTTGGTGGAAAGTGGGAAAGAAACCCTAAATCAAAGAAAAAAGATAAGGATTCAACGCCGTTGGAGGCTTCGACATCATTGCCGTCTTCTCCACTGTCGTCGCCGTTTGACTTGACAAATCGTCGTCATCGGCGAATTGATCCCATCGCCTCTCCCGTCGCCATAGCGACCACCTCCACCACGACCTCTTTCACCACCGCCGCCGCGACTGTAGCTACCTCTCTCCACACAGATACGCGACTGTAGCTACCTCATTAATTTTCTCCCTTCTCACAAACCCTCCCGCCGGAGCACGAGATGAGGATTTTTGCCGCCGATTATGACGCCGTCGAGGCTGTAAGCCTGTAATCCGATGTCTCACTGCCGAGATATATTAATTGGGCCACCGTAGAGGTTGTAATCCGACACCCACCACCGATATCAACTTGCTCTTCAGCGTCGTCTTCAACAATCGACTTCGCCTTCGATTCTGTCATCGACGTCCATTTCGGCAGTGGATGGGATGGGATTTTGTGTATTTTTGGGTTTGGTTTTAGGTGGGTGGTGGTGATGAGATGTTGGGTGGGGGTGCAGTTTGGTTTTGGGTGGGTTGGTGGTGCAGGTGTTAGGGTGGGACGTTGGTGGTGATGGATATGGTGGGAGCTGCCGGTGTTGAATATATATATATATACACACCCACACATATATATATATAGTATGGGCTTTTTTGTCATTTAAGATTATATATACATATTGTATTAAAAAATTGAGGGTAAAATGGTCAATTCAAATGTATCAGAAGTCAAAAAGTAAATTGGGGTGTAAGTGAAAGTTAAAACCAAAATCTTCATCTGGCTGAAATATGACCTAACCTCAGGGGGTCTAGGTGTAATTTAACCTAAAGTTTTTGTGGAGACAAGTTGAGTTGTTGACTCAACTATTAGGTCAACATGTTGTCAACGTCCTGGTTGATGACAATGTTTAGGTGGATGATGACGCGTCAGACACTGAGACTATTACGAAATTCGTATTTTTCATGTCGCCATAGATCACTCGACAACGGGATTGATCGTTGTTGGCCGACAAATATCAATTTCCAAATTTTTTGTTTTTATGAAGTGGGTTTTTTCAATCCTTTTTGCAGCAATACAACACCTAAACCAAGTATTATACTTGATGAAAGTCGTTGGGATTGTGAGTTTGTGGAGGAAATTCCTGAGTTGGTAGGAAATTTTGGTGGAGAAGAAAAACAACTTTTGATCAAGGAAGATGATGCAACCCTAATGGTTAAGCCAAAATATGGTGATTACTTGGAGGAAGAGGATGATATCATATACGGAGATATAGGTAAATTCTTAGTTATGCAAAAGCCACTATTGATTCTGAAACATGAGGATGATAAGGAAGCTACGAAAGAAGGATCTCAAGATGAAGTATGCATGGTTGATTATGAAGATTTTGGATCCATGGAGATGAAAAATAATGGATTTTACTTTTATGATATGGTTTGGGATGAATTCTTGGAGCGCAATACAACTGCTAGGCGGTTGTTGTAAGAAAAATTAAAGTTGATTAAATTTCTAGTTTAGGATACTGAGTTTTGTGATCCTACCCAATTTCAAAGGACATCGAGCAAAATTCATGTTTGTTTAGCAACTATATTATTTGTTAGTATAAGAAGATTAATGTATTTGGTTCGAGTTCGGAAAAGGAGAAAGAAGTGATGGAAATCAATGCTCGGATTTTTTATTGATCGTGGAAAATTGCTCCAATCTCTAGAGCGAGTTTTTCCCAACACGGGGAGACTGATGCAGGGCAGAATTTTCAATTTTCAATTAGTTGCACTCTGATGGAAACCAAATTGAGCATGGCAGTGCCAAAGCGATCAGACCAAGCTCGAGAAGATTGCTTGAATCCATACAAGGAGCTACGAAATCGACAGACCCTCTCAGAAAGGGCACGAGAGCGAAGGCCCGGAGGGGGAGAAATCGAGGCAACAAAAACAAGAAAACTGTGATAGGAAGGTGAGAGAACACAATCTTTAACAAAATTTTGATACAGGGCATGGACAAGAACGTTTACACTTCCTAAGTGCAATAGGACGATCATTCAACGGAACAACAAGTAGGCGGAGCTGGTGCTGAAGGGACAGGGTAGTTCGTCGTGGGAGTAAAAGCTTGAGCATGTTTTCTGTTACTGTAGACTTGTGAAAAGGGAACAATTCCCCATTCTGAAACGGTATCATGAGGAGGAATTGTAGAAGAGAAGTGAAAAGGCAGTGGAGTTGAAGACAGAAAAAGGTGATCATCTTTTGTATTCAGTGGGTGCCACTCACCTAGAGAACCAATTGAACCACTATGATATGGTGTATGCACAAAGAAAAAGACATCAATGGATATAGTTAAAATTGAAGAAGTGAGGGTGAGTAGAAGAAGAGGAGAGAAAGAGAGAGATGAATGTTTTGTGAAAGGTGAGCCAAAAGATTAGGGTTTCAACACCCCTCTCGCCTATTATATACTAAGTAAACATAAAGACAATAGTGCCCTTGATAAATAAAAGAAATAACAACCACCTTCTCTAATACTTACACCGCCCACCACCCCAACCCCCCCCCCCCCCCCCCCAGCGGACTGGCTAGTGGTTTCGTAAGAACGTCACCCAGCTGGTCTTCAGAGCAAATATAGGGAGTAACAATCTGTTTTTGCATCAGCAAATTTCAAATAAAATGACAATCTATCTCAATATGCTTGGTACGTTCATGAAAAACTGGATTACTAGCAATAAAGATAGCCGCCTGATTATCACAATGCATTGACATAGGAGTAGGAAAGTCAATACCCATATCCCGAAGAACAGAGCGAACACATAACATCTCAGAGGCGGTGTGAGCCATAACATGATATTCGGCCTCAGCACTAGAGCGAGCAACTATTGTTTGCTTCTTACTGCACCATGTAACTAGATTACCACCAACAAAGGTGCAATAACCAGATGTAGACTGCCTATCAGACAGACTGTCGGTCCAATCAGCATCCCTAAAACCAGATACAGACAAGGAAGAAGATGGTGTATACAACAGGCAATTCCCAGACGCACCCTTCAGATAACGCAGAATACAACAAACAGCATCAAAGTGAGGTTGATGAGGAGCGTGCATATACGTACTAACCACACCAACAATATAAGGAATATTAGGATGAGTGACAGTAAGATAGATCAGTTTCCCAACTATTTGTCGGTATCGGCCAACATTGGCAAACAATTCCCCATTTTCGGCATCTTGTTTGACGGTTGAATCCATAGGAGTATCAACAGGTCGAGCACCTAAGAGACCGGTCTCTGAAAGAAAATCAATAACATATTTCTGTTGAGACAGTGAGATGCCCCGACGAGAATGAGCAACTTCAATCCCAAGGACATTATGAAGAGCACCCAAGTCCTTGGTTTTGGAAATGATGACCCAAGTGTCGCTTCAACTCTGCAATGCCTACTGAATTTCACCCAGATATAATGATATCCATCAACGTAAACAATCAAGACAATAGTACCAGAAGAGTGACAAACAAACACAGAATAATCAGAAGTAGAGCGCTGAAAACCAAACTCAATCCCCACAGCACTGAATCTATCAAATCAAGCACGGGGAGACTGCTTCAGACTGTATAGAGCATTGCGCAGGCAACAAACGAGGTGCTCAGTACCAGCAACAGCATAACCAGGCGGTTGACATCGGAAGAGTAGGTAAAGATAAGGAAGATTCCCCCTCACGAGAAAATATCATTTCAGAAGACAAATGCAGACCGGACAATTTAAAGAAAGCAGTGTACTCAAAAAAGGTAACATCAGCACTCACAAAGTAACTCTGGGACTCAGGACTGTGACAACGAAACCCCTTCTGAGTGTGAGTACCCTGGAAAAACACACTTGTGAGCACGAGGAGACAGTTTATTACGACTAGGATATTGAATGTGACCAAATGGTACACAACCATAGAATTGATTGAGTTATTATTCCAGAGGCATGGCTCAAGTGTCCCCATGTTCTTGGACTCTTGCATCACTTGATTGAGTTAAATAGAGCTAGCATAGGGTAGTATATGCAGTATTGGACTGTTTTAATTTTTATATCACCATGAAAGAAATGAACTCTGACCCACACACATACTGTTACTTTATTCCAATGTATTTCTGTTATGTGAAGACTCTACTTGTATTATATTTTTTCTGATGTATATAGCTTAGTTTGGCTATGTTACTTTATTTTTTAACTTATGGTTTGAGAGCTTCCCTCTATTCCTTGCTAATCTACTGCAATCATATTTTGCAGTATTGTCATTATATATTCTTCTGTTAGCATAGATCTTCTTTGCTGGTGTTTGTCAGTTGTTGTGATTCTTATTATTTTTACTTCTACTGTTTTTACTTTAGGATAATTATTTTGAGGAAGCTTTGAAGATGAGAAATCTTCTTGAAGAATTCCATCGTGACCATGGAATTCGGCCTCCTACCATTCTAGGTGTGAGGGAACATGTGTTTACAGGAAGGTATGTTTCCCCAACTAGTTGTTTCTATTTCTTGCTTTTCGTCTGACTAATGATTGTCATTCTTAACCTTACTTTTGCAGTGTCTCTTCTTTAGCGTCTTTCATGTCCAATCAAGAAGCTAGCTTTGTAACTCTTGGTCAGCGTGTTCTAGCAAATCCTTTGAAGTAAGTTCATATTTATCATGCATGTGAATATGCTCCTTCATATAATCAATAAAATTATACATAACTATAGCTGAGATCTTTAATAATGTTCAGGATTCGTATGCATTATGGCCATCCCGATGTTTTTGATAGAGTTTTCCATATAACAAGGGGGGGTATCAGCAAGGCCTCTCGTGTAATTAACATTAGTGAGGATATCTTTTCAGGTATGACTTTTGAGCAAGATGCCATTTGGGTGAAATTAATATGCTTATCTTCTGAATGTGTTTCCCAAGCTAGTCATAATGCTGGTGACTTGTTAAGCATCATTTTTTCTTCAAAATGTTGCTTTAAAATATTTATTTTAAAAACAAGGCTTTGGGCAGGTAATGAAGGATTTGCCAACTTGCTTAAAGAGGTTTCATTTAACAGTAATACCAAATTATGTAATTAAAAAAAAAAAAAAGAAGAAGAAGAAAAAAAAAAAAAAAGAAAGATGTATATTGTAAAATTTTGCAACAATTTGAGTAAAAAACCTAGCTGTATATTTTGGAGCTTAAAAGTTCAATTATTGTGAGTGAAAGAATGAGCTGTTCACTAGGTTGTAAACATCAATTGGAGTTCCTGAAATCGGCCTGTGTTCTATAGCAGTGTTGTAATTCTGATATTTTGGTGATATGTGAACACCTTGATTCCTCGAAGCCTAGATATTCGGGCATGCTTGTATGTATATCTTTATGGATTACCATGCTGAACATATACAGATCACTGTGCTCGTGTTTTTCAATGTATGTGGAATCAGTAGGGAATAGTTTGGTAAGTGAAGGAATATCTTTAATGAGATTTCTAACACAAAGGCATGCTGTACTGCAGATTATCCATGCTCCCTCTCATCACTTAAGGCCTGAACCTCATCATGATCTCATTGCTCAGTATTTTCGTAACCCGACATTGACGTGAGCAACCATTAAATCATTTGACCTAATAGCCATGAAATGTTTGCAGCCTTCTCTCTGTGGTCCACAACAGCATCAACATCAGTTGCTTTTACTTCAGTTTCAGTCATAGGAAAAGAGCTCTCCTGTACCACACCCTTTTCACTGCAAGAAATATTATCATTTCTCTAAGGAACCAAACCATAGCTTTACTCTCCACCTGTTAAGCCTCATTCTCTGTATGCACATCCTTCTCAACAAGAGCTAAAAATTGATTCTGCAACATAATCCCATCCCCATCTTCCATATTCCATCTGCTCTAAAGTTGCTGTATTATTAAGAGCCTTAACCTGAACAGATTCAACCATTTCCTATTCTTTGCTCACCACCCAATTGTTAGTCTTCTTTCCATTATTTCCTGATCTGCAATAACCTAAATGAGCATTTGGAAACCAAATGATCATTTCTTTTTCAATGTGAACATTTCTGAGACCTCCATTCGCAGTAAAAATTTATCTTACACTCCTCACCTTGAACACACATCGTTACAGACTCTGCAAGGTCTTTGTAAGTATCAATTTCAACCATTACTCTTAACATGTTGATCCTTCTCAGAGGAAGAAGAATCTACATCCAGAAATAAAGGCTTTGAAAAGCTAGAATATTCTTTCAAGATTACCACTCTATTTGTACAGTATAATGGCAGGCCATTAATTTTCATCCATATCAGGACTGATCCCAATAACTCCTCGTCTCCAGATCCACGTTGGTTGCTTAAGAATTATTGGATGCCCCTCAAAAGTATTAACACGCTGTAAGATTGTCTTTGTATCGTCCCTTTATTCAAATTGAACGACAAAAATTCCATCCTTAAGATAGATTAAACTGAAATCTTTACACCATCTACATTGTAAGTAGGCTTTGGAAAAAAGGACATTATGGCTTCTTGCCCATCATGCATCTTACATCTGAGTTTCATCAGTATTTTGAATCATCTTTGACATCAACATCTTCAAAATAAACATTTTATGTTGTTTGCAGTAAGCTTGGTAGTTGAGATTAATGAAGGAGGGTTTTTAGATTTTCCGAACAAACTTCTCCTAACATACGTGAAGGAACCATATCCGTGGCGAAGCTGCCCCCGGTGGCTGTGGGGAGGAGGTTACCCTCCTCCATGCTGTGAATCCTCCTTCACTAATAAAACCCTAGTTTGCAAAGTCACCAGCAAGTCTCCAAAATCCTTATTATTTAATTTTGTTTTTTGGTGGTGTTTTTCAATTTGACTAAAATTGATTATAAATAACTAGCTTTGTTACATGGCGTCAATGCGTGGGCGAGGTATGAGTTTTAGTCTAAATGTTTAATTTATTAAATCTACAATAATGTAACAAAAGAAATCTAATTACAAAGTTTTATGTGCAATTATATAATAAACTTTGATTATTGGATGTGCTTACTTGGTGCATAACTGGCTAAACATGTTGAATCTATACCCCATATTTATGCCGTTGTAGTGTTATGTGTCAAAGATGAATATTTCAGTCATTTAGAGTAGTCCATGTAACTTAGACTACAACTCTTCAATATATAGAGTTCTCCGTCTTTATGTTGACGTGCCTGCACATAAAAAGAATGTTCTTTCTAGCCATCCTATTTTCTCGTTTGCATGTACATTCTCGGTTTGGAGGAGGCAAAGACAAGAGTGTCTTGACTCTGGATTTTAGACCAATAAGTCTAATTGGGTGTATCTATAAGCTTATCGCTAAAGTCCTTGCGTTAAGATTGAGGGAGGTTCTGGACGGAGTCATCTCTGAACCTCAAAATGCATTCATTGGGGGCAGCAGATCCTAGATTCCGCTTTCATTGCTAGTGAATGTGTGGATTATAGGCTCAGTAGTGGTGTTCCTGGAGTTACGTGTAAGTTTGATTATGGTTCGGTGGGATTATGTGTGTTGTCCAATTCGGTGTGGAGGCTTGGGGATTAGGAGATTGTTGCTTTTCAACAAGGCTCTCCTTGGGAAATGGCTCTGGAGGTTTGGGATTGAGAGGCATTGGCTTTGGAGGAGAGTTATCGCAAGCAGGTTTGGAGAGAGCAGAGGTGGGTGGTGTTCTCTTGAGGTGCGTGGTCCTAGGGGGGTGGGGGTTTGGTCTTTCATTCGGCGGGGGTGGGATGTTTTCTGCAAGCATGTTCGTTTTCGGATCAAGGATGGCAGGAGGATCAGTTTTTGGGAGGATATTTGGTGTGGGGAGTCTCCCCTTGCCCTCGCTTTCCCTCGGCTCTATAGGATTGCTTCTCACAGACAGGCCATGGTGGTTGACTGTTATCACCTTGATAGCGGGAGACTGACTTGGGATGTTCAGTTTGGGAGGCACTTTCAGGACTGGGAGATTGAGGAGGTTACTCGTTTTTTAGAGGTCCTGTATCGCCAGGTGATCTCAGTTGGGGATTTGGATTGTTGGCTTTGGGTCCCTAATTCTCAATATTGAGGTTAGATCCTTTTTTAGGTGCCTTTCGGTTGGCACCAGAGGCCCTTTCCCCTGGAAGTCTATTTGGCGCTCTAAGGCTCCCCTTAAGGTAGCCTTCTTTGCATGGACTTCCGTCCTGGGTAAGATTGTAACTTAGGATAATTTGAGAAGGAGGAATCAGGTGGTGATTAATCGTTGTTATTTGTGCTTGTGTGGTGAGGAGACCGTTGATCACCTTCTTTTACATCGCAGTATGGCCAGAGACTGTTGGGATTTGATGCTTGGATTATTTGGGGTCCATTGGGTTATGCCTTGTTCCTCTAGAGGGTTGATTGAGGCTTGGAGAGGTGTCTCTGTTGGGGCTCTCATTCAGGATGCCTGGAGGGCTACGCCCCTTTGTATTTGGTGGTGCATTTGGCTCAAGAGAAATCGAAGATATTTTGAGGGGAAGGAGAAACCTATTTCTATGCTTAAGTTTTCTATTATTTCCACTCGTTTTTGTTGGGTCTCAGGGAGAGATTGTAGATCTATTGAGGAGATTATTGGTTTTTTGGCCTCTTTGAAGGTTTGAGGCGCCTTTTGGCCCTTGTGTTTCTTTAGGTCCGCTCCCCTTTTGAGCGTTTTCAATAAAATCTTAGTTATCAAAAAAAAAAAAAAGAGAGAAAGCCTATGATCTTGTTTGTTGGAATTTTTTGTTTTATTTGTTAGAGAGGATGGGTTTCGGAGAGAGATGGAGGAGATGGATCGACGCATGCGTTTCCTCTGTAAGATTTTCTGTGTTGGTGAATGGGTCCCCATTCGGGTTTTTTGGCAGTTCTTATGGTTTGAGGCAAGGGGACCCACTCTCCCCATTCCTGTTCTTTATTGTTACGGAGGCTCTTAGTAGGTTGATCAGAAGGGTTGTGGATTTGGGATTTATCAGGGGCTTTAGAATTGGTCCAGATTCAGTTCAACAGATGGAGATCTCTCACCTGCTTTTCACGGATGACACACTGGTTTTTTATGAGGCAGATGTGTCCCAACTGAGATATTTTAGATGTGTCCTGGTTTGCTTTTAGGCAGTCTCAGGTTTGAAAGTCAATGTGGGCAAGAGCGTGTTTATTCTTGTGGGGGAGGTTCAGGAGGTGGCTTCTCTTGCGGCGGTTTTAGGGTGTGGGACGAGCTCCTTCCCTATTTCTTACTTGGGCTTGCCGTTGGGTGCTTCGTCAAGGAGGGTGGGAAGTTGGGACCCGGTGATAAGCGTTTCGAGAGAAGGTTGGCTGGGTGGAAAAAGCACTATCTTTCGAAGGGAGTGAAAGTTACTTTGGTGAAGAGTACATTGTCCAGTCTTCCAACTTATTTTCTTTCGCTTTTTCAGATCCCCTCCTCTATTGTTAGAAGACTTAAGATGCTTTAACGGAACTTCCTTTGGGGCGGACGGGGGGAGGAGTTTAAATTTCATTTTGTCCGGTTGGAGCAGGTATGCAGGCCCTTTAAGTTGGGCGGTCTTGGGATTAGGAGATTGACCCCTTTCAACATAGCGCTCCTAGGCAAGTGGTTTTGGAGATTCGGTAGCGAAAGACATAGGTTATGGAGGAAGGTTGTTTCATGTCGTTTTGGGGAGGAGAGAGGGGGATGGTTATCTAGGCCTGTCAGATGTGTTGTCTGTGTGGGGGTGTGGAAACCCAATTGGGAAGAGATGGGATGAGTTCTCCAAGCATATTAGATTCAGAGTTAGGGAAGGAAGGGATGTCCGATTTTGGGAGGATACTTGGTGCGAGGATCACCCATTGTTTTGTTTGTTCCCAAGGTTGTTCAGGATTGCTGTTGATAGACATGCTTTAGTAGCTGACTATTATCGACTCGATAGTGGTAAGTTGTCTTGAGATGTGCGGTTCTGGCAATCCTTTCAGGATTGGGAGTTGGACGACGTCACTGGCTTGCTTGACCTTTTGTATGGACAAGAGGTGGATGGTACTGGTTCGGAATCCTTGACGTGGGTGCCTTCTTTGCAGGGGACTTTTTAGGTCCGTTCCTTTATTCTCTGCCTCTCCGAGTTTCACGGTTCCAATTTCCCGTGGAAAATGGTTTGGCATTCGAAGGCTCCTCTTAGGGTGGCCTTTTTAGTCAACCGGTGTTGTCTGTGTAAGAAAGATGGGGAATCTGCGGATCACCTTCTTTTGCATTTTCCCGTTGCTAGTCTTATTTTGGGTCTGTTTGGCGTCCAAAGGGTTATGCCTCGGACTTCAATGGATTTGATTGACATATGGAGAGGCCAAAGGGTGGGGGCTAATGTTCGTGACTATTGGAGGGCAACCACCCTTTGTGTTTGGTGGAGTCTTTTGAAAGAGCAAAATAGAAGATCTTTTGATGGGGATGAATTCTCCATTGGGGCAGTGAAGTTTTCTATTATTTATTCTCTTTTTAGTTGGGTTATGGGGAGAAATTGTATATCTTTAGATGAAATAGTGGACTTTTTGGGTTCCTTGGGTCCATAGGACTCCCTTTTTTGGTTTCGGTATTTGTATAGCTCTTGGGACGCGTTCCCCTTTTGAACGCTTTCTAATACAATTTTACTTAAAAAAAGAAGTGTCTCGACTCTTGAGAAGCAAAAAAAGGGGTTCTACTTGGGGGAAAGTGGGGTGCAAGAGGAGTTCAATATTTTTTTTGGCTGATTCTTTTGGTGGTTGGAACTTTTTGTGGTGATTTAGTTTCTGTTTATTCCTTTATAACTTGTGTGTGGTTTGCCAATTTCATTCCTTCTTAGAGCGTTTCTTTTTTGCTACTTATTATAAGATGCCTTTCAGTAATTAATATTTTTTCAGTTTTTGGGACATGTTCCCCTTTTTGAACTCTTTCTAATTCATATTTACTTATAAAAAAAAATTAATTAATATTTTTTCCCAAACGGAATTTCCTGGAGGATCTCCTTGGGGAATAACCCAATGTTTAATGAGCACCTGCTCTACACTAATTCAACTTGATGAGCGTTTACTCCTCTTGATACTGAAGTACATTGAAGTAAAATTCCAGAGTAGATGCCTTGAACTAGAGTGCTTTGTCACCTTTCAGTTACATAAATGCATGAAAGCAACATATCGTATTCTTTCTCCTTCCCTTCAACACTTCTTCAAAACCTTGGATATTCTTCCTAACCCATGCCTCCTGCACCTGATGGATCATATTAAACAGCCCTTCATGAAAGGTGGATTCAGAATATTTGCTGATGTAAGATAGCATAATTCCTTTCCTCCTTGGTTGGCTAAAAATATGCCTGGTTATAGACAGGTTTCACTTGTGGCAATATATATTCTAGACCCTGGCCTGCCCACTTATAAACAGGTCTGTCCAGTCAAGTAATTTTAGTCATGTAGTTAGGTTGCAAGAGATGTATTGTCCCATGTTATTCTATTTGTTGACACCTAGTTATCTTTAAATCGTTGACTTTTGAACTTGATGCTTGATCTCACTTGTATATATTATGAGTGATGTATAAAATTTGACCCCAAAAATGATCATATTTGTGAAGAGAACTTCCATCCCACTTTTGCTTCCATTGGTGTTTCTATTTCGGTACATGCATACACAAACAAGAACACCTGTCTGATTCTTCTGTCTAGTGAATTTCATAGTCTTCATGTACTGTTATTATTCTGTACTAAATATCTGTTCTCCTAAATGCAAACTACTCTTTGTTTGGTGAGAGATTCAATTTTGGAGTTAACAATGCAGGGTTCAATTCAACTTTACGACAAGGAAATGTTACTCACCATGAATACATTCAGGTACAATTGCATCTTTGTTTTGTTTAAAAGAATATGTGCGTTAAAGTACTCTAATTCAAATGCACACAGGTTGGCAAGGGACGAGATGTCGGGCTCAATCAGATTGCTTTATTTGAAGGGAAAGTCGCTGGTGGCAACGGTGAACAAGTTCTTAGTAGGGATGTTTACAGACTTGGGCAGCTGCTTGATTTCATCAGAATGCTCTCCTTCTACTTCACAACTGTTGGATACTATTTCTGCACAATGGTACGCTATTTCTGCTATCTAATTGTACTGCAGTTTCGTAATCTGGGACTGAATGAATTGAAAATTAGTATCTGTCCAACCGATTTGTCTTTTGTGGTCATGTGGTACTGAATTTGAGAGTTGACAAGTCAAAATGTTAAGGAGATTGAGAATAGCTTTCGAGTATATTGTTTTCTAAGTTTTCAGCTGTTTTTTTTTCCTGAATGTTGGAAAGTTTTATTGATACAAATGAACAATATAGTACAAAAGATAAGTGATCTCTCGGAAAGATCACAAGGAGACAGGAAAACAAGACTGATATAGGGCATACCCTAAAAGACCAGACACAAAAGAAAGAAAAAGAAAAGACATCAGAAAGGAGCTAGCAAGTCCACTAAAGTTACATTCTGAGAACTTAATCCTTCAAGGCATACTTCCCTAGCTACTCAGCAGCTGTTGAAGGCTGACCATCATGTAACACCTTGTTCCTGTGATTCCATATGCTCCATAGGATAGCAGTGAAAATGCACTTCAGTATCTTATTCCTCATTGAGTGAGATGACTGTAAAATGAACCAATGAATGACATCCTCAAAAGAAGACATGATAAGAATCTCCTCCCATTTACAAATTTCATAAAACCACTGCCACACCTGTTTAGCAAAGGGGCATGACCAGAAAAGATGATTATTCGAATCCTCATTCTTATAATAGTTGTGCATGTGGCTGTTAATGTGAGTCCCTGTTTCTGAAGGTGCACCAAGAATGTATTTGCTTGTTGCTGCACCAACACAGCAAATATGGATACTCGGGGTCTGCTACCATTCCAAACCAGTGAAAACCACAGAACCTCAGTACCCTGATGTCTACAATAATTCCTTGCAGCTTTGAAACTGAATTGGCCATCAGCCCATCCAATCTCATCATCCACTGCATGATTAGTGAATTTATTCAGATATTGAGCAATCTCTGGAGGCCAGGAAGGTGGAACATTCCACCCAGATTGCTGCTGTAGTACACTTATAGTGTCATTAAGATTGAAACCAGCAACAAGAGTTCTTAGACCAAACCTCTGATGTAGAGATAGCCTCTCATACCAAGGGTCAAAAAATAGACTGAATATATAACCATTATTAATGTTGTAAACTAACTTCTGTAGCAGTTTCTCCCTTACAGACAAGATGTCCTTCCAAATAGCAGAATCAGAGGCTTTATTCAACAAATTCCAGTCCACCTTCCCTCTTTGACAGTGTAACCTTCTCCCAGCTAAGTAAAGGCTTCTCGGATTCAGATTCATTATTTTTACTCTCAAATCCATGATATGCAGCTTGAATGGTGACAGCTTCTTTAACGTCAGACAAGTTGCTGATTGTTTCCTTAGTCTTCTCGTCTTCACCTTTCTTTCTTCTTTATCTATTTCAATCTTAGATTCATTGGATTCATTGTCTCCCGATTGAACCTTGTTGCATTTTTTGATTTAATTTCTTCAATTGAATTTCTTCTACCCTCATGTAAATTAACACCATTATTCACTAAAGAAATTTCTTCTTCATGTTCCTTCTCCTTTTCGTCAATTTCTTGAAGCGAATAGGTTGATTGTACTCCCAAGATCTCATCTTCTTCGTCTACACTTTCAAATGAATCATCAAAAGTTGACTGAAAGGTGATTGATTACAACTCTTGGGCACTTGGCATGTGTAGGATCAAAATTCAGGTTCTATAGAACGTTTCACCTTTCCTGTCCATATGCTTTCTGACAATTTAACAGATGTGGCAGCACTCTAATTTGCACTTGTAGACTGCATATGTCACTGAAATCTTTCTTCAGTAGGTTGTTTTATCCAATTTTCACCTTGATATCGCTTTGCTCGCCGCCTTCTCTGTCTCCCAATATCCAAATTACGAGGAGAAATTATTCCATATTGTTCTAATTGTGCTCAGTCGAGAAATTTGGTGTTGCAAATTCTCAAAGTCTTTTTTTTTTTTTTTTTTCCTAAGTGGCTGTGGATTAAAAGGAATAAAGGATAAAACGATAAAGTACAGGATTAAAGTGGAATCATACCACCACTCTACATAGCAATGGAAATGAAATAGGTCCATTTCCAACAAGAAGAGAACAGAAAAACTAAAAGGCTGAATACAAGTGGCCAACTGCAAGACATTCTAATCAGCTAAAGAAACTGCAGCAAAATCCGAGACCTCACAAACAGCCATTCTGGCAACAACAGAAGCAGGAATGCAACCACCATTCATGTAACCTCTGATTTCTAGCTCCCCACAATCCCCACACTGTAGTAGTAAAGAACATTCTGAAGATACTATGTCTTTTAGAGCTCTGTCTGAAAGAATTGACATTCCAGTTGATATACTGATCAAAGGAAGAGATTTCAGAGATATTCCAGCCTGCAAACTCAGAAATCCAAGCCCAAAGCAAACCTCATTGGCAAAGGTGCAAGACCAGAATGGTGATTCACTGCACAGTTATGACAAATTGCGGTCAAACGGATCCTCCTGTTTTGAAAATTAATCAAGCTTGGCAATCTGTCAAGAATGGCCAAAACTATGGTAACAGAAGTTCTTGGCCTCCCTTTATTCCAAACAAGAGAAAACCAAGGAACCCTAGCCATAGATCCGAAGTAATCACAGATCTGAAGGAAACGCTCTGATACCACTTGAAGCAAATAGATATGATTCCACTAGACACTATTAATTTGGTGCATCACCTATGGGAAAATAAGTTGTCTGTGTACAACACATAGTTTTTCTGCCCAAGCCATTACATACAGGTCATATGTAGAATACTCCATGTTACAATTTGTAGTACTCTAGCTTCTTGTTCTCATCTGACAAGCCTTATTATAATGTGTTTGCAGTTAACGGTGCTGACAGTATACTTTTTCCTCTATGGAAAGGCCTATTTGGTAAGTTTTATATCTTTTATTTTTTGTGGCAACTTTGTAGTCGACAGTTTGTCATGTTTAATCTTCTTGACTAGGATGAAATAAATTTTGAGTGTTTGCCTTGGGAATCATTAACAGGCAGCATACCACTTGGACATCATATTTCATAGATCTTTCATTCCTTTTAGAGCTCTTTTACATCATATGGATTTTTAACATGTTGCAGGCACTGTCTGGACTTGATGGAGAAATTGAAGATAGAGCTAAAATATCCAAGAATACTGCCCTGAGCGCTGCTTTAAACACACAGTTTCTCTTCCAAATTGGTATCTTTACTGCTGTGCCAATGATTTTGGGTTTCATATTGGAAATGGGATTTCTAAGGGTATGTTCTTCAACCATGAAATGATGTGAAACTGCATATTGCATAATCAGGATAAATTTTTATTATATGTTTTATGATTTCCCTCTTATATTAATACTGCAGATGATTTATTTATGTTTGCAGCAATTGGAGAAGAGTCTCTTGTGTATTAATTCTTGAAATCTACATATATATGCTTCTTGTTGGTGCAGCAAAAGCTCACGAACACAAAGATTCAATGAAAGCCAACAAAGCAATCGCACACAAACACAAGATATAACGTGTTTCAGCTAAAACCACGGATGAGAAGAGATTCCACTATGATTTGAATAGTTATTACAAGAGTAGAGTTCCAACAACTCGTAGATGCCTTTTCACCATGTGCCACTCCACTAACCTATCTCGTTGCTACCAGTGCTACCGGTGTTTTTCCTACTCTACCAACTCATAAACTATATCTACCCATCAACTCTGTCATGAGACCACATCTCTCTCGCTCTAATAATTCTCAGCCCATAACCTAGGTGTCTATTTATAGAGTTCTAGTAGAAATATAAAAAGAAGAAAAAGGAGAGAATTGTGTAAAGGCTTGAATGAGATGAATCTAACACATTCACAGCTCTAGTATTTATAGATAAAAAGAGTACATGCTCATATTACAAGTGAGGAAACTAAATCAAATCACAACATATTCTATTGCATAATGAGATCTCTGCTATTATGGTAAGTCATTCCATAAATCGTGGATATCATATATGGTAACACTCCCCCTTAAGTTGGTGTGTGGATATTTGAAACGCCCAACTTGGACAATGCATTCTAAAACACAATCTTGCTGATGCACTTTATGAGAATGTTTGCAAACTGCTAAGAGCTTGTGACAAATGGAGTGCAAATTTGACCAGAGATGATCTTCTCTCGAATGAAGTGATGGTCCATCTCTATATGCTTAATCCTGTCATGCTGAGCGGGATTTGCTGCTATGCTAATGGCAGACTTGTTGTCGTAGTAGAGTGAGAATGGAATCAACAATGGAAGGCACAAGTCTGTCATCAAGGTTTTCAGCCATAGCAACTCATATACACCAAGAGCCATAGCCCTATACTCTGCCTCTGCACTAGATCGAGAGACAACATCCTGCTTCTTACTGCGCCAAGTTACCACCAATAGTGGTACAATAACCTGAAGTTGAACTCCTATCTGAAATTGATGCTACATAATCAGCATCTGTCCAAGCCTCAACACGTAAGTGACCATGATTGGCAAACAAAATACCACGGCCCGGACACTCTTTTAAGTAGCGAAGGATCCGAATAGTTGCATCAAGGTGAGGGGTGCAAGGAGAGTGCATGAATTAACTTACGACACTCACGGCATAAGCAATGTCAGGTCAAGTCATGGATAAATAAATGAGCTTCCCCACAAGTCGTTGATACTAACCAACATCTAACAACAACTCCCCCTCAGAATCAGCCAACCGATGATTCTGCTCAATTGGAGTATCAGCAGGACGAGCGCCAAGCTAACCAAAAGCAAAAAGCAAGTCAAGAACATACTTGCATTGAGAGATGAAAATGCCACCCTTGGAGTGAGCCGCCTCAATGCCCAAGAAGTACCGTAGGGGACCAAGATCTTTAATCTTAAATTGACGGCCAAGATAGCTCTGAACCTCAGCAATTCCGGTAGTATCCATCGTCGGTAAGAACAATAACATTGACATACACAATGAGAGCAACTGTCTCACCACCTGAATGACGTAAAAACAAGGTATGATTAGCTGCACTTTGATGGAAACCAAATTTGAGTATGGTAGTGCTAAAGTGATCAGACCAAGCTCGAGGAGACTGCTTGAGGCCATACAGAGAACGACGAAGACGACATACAATGCCGGAATGAGCAGGAGAACGAAAGCCCGGAGGAGGAACCATGTACACCTCCTCCTGCAAATCACCAGTGAGAAAAGGCATTCTTGACATCTAACTGAAATAGAGACCAAGATTGAATCGCAGCAACATAAAATAATACACGGATGGTATTCATCTTGGCAACTGGGGCAAAAGTCTCTTGATAATTTATGCCATAAATCTGAGCATAACCCTTGGCAACCAACCAGGCCTTGTAATGAGCAACTGACCTATCTGGATTATGCTTAACTGTAAACACTCAACGACAACCCACAGCCTTTCGTCCAATAGGAAGCGGAACCATGGCCAAGTCTGATTTTTCTTAAGTGCTTGTAGTTCTTCTGTCATAGCATCACGCCATTGAGGTTGTGCTAGTGCATATGCAACACTAGAAGGAAGAGGAACCGAGGCAACAGAAACAAGAAAGCTCCGATAAGAGGGTGAGAGAGCATAATCCGAAACAAAATTAGAAATAGGGTATGTACAAGAGCGTTTACCCTTTTGAAGAGCAATGGAGCGATCATCAAGCGAAACAATAGCTTGAGAAAGTGGAGCTGGTGCTGAAGGAACAGGGCAGCCTATCGTGGGAGTAGAAGCTTGTACCTGTTCTTTGCGACTATAAACCTGTGAAAAAGGAACAATTCCCCTTGCTGGAGGGGTATCACGAGGAGGAATCATAGAAGACGAAACAGGTAACGGTAGAGGAGTTGAAGACAGAAGAAGGTGATCATCCATTATATTCAATGGGAACCATTCACTTTGAGAACCAACTGAACCACTATAGTATGGTGTATGCTCAAAGAAAGAAATATCCATGGATATAAACCGCCGACGATCGGGAGGATGGTAACACCTATAACCTTTTTGAGAGTGAGAATAGCCCAAAAACACGCACTTCAAAGCCTTGGGGTCAATTGTACGAGTCTGCCCCAACTGCTGAACAAGGCACACACACCCAAAGACTCGTGGAGGAATAAAAAAAAGAGATGAATTGGGATGTAAGATTGAGAGTGGGGCTACAAAGTTAAGAACCCTAGAAGGAGTCCTATTAATAATGTATACAGTTGAAAGAACTGCATCTCCCCAAAATGACTGGGGAACATTCATGCCAATGCAGATTGCTCTGGTTAAGTCAAGGATGTGGCGATTCTTTCTCTTAGAACAACCATTCTGATGCTCAATCCCAAATTCTGTACATTACCGTTGTACCTCCCCATAAACGTACTCTGTACCCTGGTCAGATCTGAATTTTTTAATGGTACGATCTTATTGAGTCTGAACCATTGTCATAAAATTTTTTATAATGGTGTATACCTCATTTTTGGTTTTCATAAGATAAACCCATATAACACGACTATGATCATCAATGAACAACACGAAATATCAAAATCCAAGACTAGAAGTAATTGGGCAAGGACCCCACACATCTGAATGAACAAGATCAAAATGTGTTAAAGTAGATTTATTACTACTAGCAGGATAATTGGAACGAACATGTTTAGCCATATAACATGTCTCACAGGATAAATCTGACACTACCACGTTACAAAATAAGGAAGAAAATAAATGTTTTAAATAACCGAAAGAAATATGTCCTACATGCATGTGCCAACGCATAAGCTGGGCTTTATTATATGAAACAAAATTAAAAAGTGAAGATGAATGTGCTTGAGGTGACAAAGGAGCATCCAACAGGTATAGACCATCCACTTCACGCCCACTGCCAATCGTCCGTTTCGACACCAGATCCTGAAAAATACATTGAGAAGGAAAGAACGTTACACTACAATTTAATTTTTTGGTAACGCTACTAACAAAAATAAGATTTTTAGTCAACTATGAAGTGTATCTAACAAAGTTAATGAAGGAGTAACTGATATATGACCCTTTCCAGCAATGGAAGATGAAGAGCCATCCGCAAGGCGTACCTTGTGATGGCCAGAGTAGATATTATAAGATTGGAAGAATCAGGACATACTAGTCATATTGTCTGACGCACCAGAATCAATGATCCATGGTGTCGAAGATGTAGATACGCTATGTGCAGACGCAATAATACCTGAGTGGGCATAAGTGGAGGCTGGTTGAGATGATGCCTTCATTTGGCTGAAGAATTGTTTGAACTTGTCCAAATCAGCTTGAGTCAAGGTAATTGTGGCAAAAGATGTAGAGGCAGAGTTGTCAGGAGTGGACAACAAGATTGGCTATGAAACAGAATGTGCAGAGGATCGAGACTGTTGTTTCTGTTGCGGTGGGTGTCCATGTAGAGCATAACAACGAGATTTGATATGACCAATTTTTCCGCAATGGTCACATCGTCCGCATTGTCGTCCCAGAGGAGGATCGGTGATAGAGCTTTGAACTAACTGGGATGGTGCAGTTCTTGATAGGTTGGGAACCCGAACTGCCATAGCAGAACGATGAACAGAAGCAACACCTAATGGATGAGTCTGACGGCTCTCATCTGACAACAAATAGGAGTATGCATCCTCAAGAGTAGGGAATGAAGATAAGCCTAATAAATAAACACGAGCATACTCAAACTCGTCGTTCAAACCAGTAAGAAACTGAAACACTCAATTCTTCTCCACAATCCCTGCATATAAAACTGCATCATCTGGATCCTTCCAAGAGTGGAAGGAATCATAATATGACATCTCTTCCCAAATAACACGAAGCTTGGCGATGAAACCTGAAACTGTCAAGTCACCTTGAGAAATCCTGGTGATATCTTGCCCCAGCTGGAAAATCCGTGCATTATTCTGCCACTGAGAATAAGTGCGTTGAACTGAATTCCAAATCTGCTTAGAAGTCTTCATAAACATTATAGCCAACAGCTATGTTTGGTTTCATCAAATTGACTAGCCAAGACATAACCATAGCGCTATGTGCAAACCACTATGGATATGCCTTCTTTGACTCGGCTGGCTCTTTCTCAGAATCAGTAATATAACCAAACTTGCCTTTGACACCAATGAACATCTTGGCAGACTGTGCCCAATCAAATAGTTGGAACCATCTAACTTCACCATGGTGATTTGAAGTCCTGGATTTTCTGATGAGTTGGTGGAAAAAATGGCACAACCACCCACAGAACTTGACCCAAGAGAATTAACAGTCAAGGACCCTGAATCTGCCATAATCTGTCACACGACAATAAAAAAACTCCAAAAACACCACAAATTCTGTTAATAAATCAAAGGGTCTCCTCAGACCATAAACAATAATAATGTCTCCTCAAACTATTCTCGAAAAATCCAAATACATACTTTGTTTTTTAAGGAGCGTTGTTAGCTTACATATAGCCAAACTGCCTCTTTCTTAATATCCGAAATCTCTTTATCGACTAATTGTTTTTTACCCAAGCTCTTCTAGGTGTTGGTGACCAACTATCCCAATTTACGCAACCCTAGAAGAGTAAAAAAGAAATTTTAAAACTTAAAAATACCTGTTTTCGATCACAAAATGGCAACACAGAAAAACATGTGTAGGCAAAGTCACACGATGTCACAAACAGCCCAAGGTGGCTGCCGCAGTAGTAGCAAGGCTGCTAAAAGGTGTGAAAGGTGTTGGCTCTGATACCAAGTAGAAATATAAAAAGAAGAAAAATGAGAGAATTGTGTAAAGGCTTGAATGAGATGAATCACTCATTCACCGCTCTAGTATTTATAGATAAAAAGAGCATATGCTCATATTATAAGAAAGGAAACTAAATCAAATCACAACATATTCTAAAGCACATTTTATAGCATAATCAGATCTCTACTATTATGTAAGTCATTCCATAAATCGTGGATATCATATATGCTAACAATTCCAAACTCAATTCCTTGTTGGACAAGGATTACAATTCCTTGAAGCCCAAGACTTGCCAAACAAGAATTACCTAATAAAATACAACTCTATAATAGAAACCTAATTAGAATAGGAATTTGAAACGCAGTTTCCAACAGTTCTTTATGCGGCGCAAATGGAAGAGGACTTTCTTTAAACAGTTTAACATCCTAAGAAGGCTAGACTAAAATTGTGTTAACAGGGGCAACATTTTTTATGGGTTTTGAGTCATTTAGTTAAGTCGTAAATTTGTCTTATTTTTTTTTAGTGTTTGAGCTTTAGTTTCATTTTACTTCTGTTTAATGAGGCATGTGCTATTAAGTGAGTCGTGTGACCATTTAAGGGCTGTTTTGTCAATTTTAGCATCTTTTATTCTGCTGGACAGAATAGTAGCCGTTAGCTTATATTTATATGAAGGGTTAGGATTAAATCTTTGTTAGGGCATCCCTTGTGCCTTATAAAAGGGTTGTTCTAAGCTGTATTCAGCAGTTTTTGATTTATTAATAATATATTCAGCTTGCTACTGCAGCTTTCTACGTCTCCCTTTCTTTTGGGATTGTGTTGTTGGTGTTTAAGCTATCTCTAGCTTGATCTATTTCTCTATTTTTACCTTCTTGCAAATTTATTCTCTCTTTTCTAATTAAATGCATTAGTTCTCATCACACGTGTGTGTATGAAATTTGAACGGTGATTGTCACTATAACATCAGCGCTGACTTTGATTCAAGTCATTGGTACTTAAATTATTCTCTCTTTTATTGAAACTGTTATTTGCTATTTGTGGTTTTATGTCAATTACTACCACTGTTCTGCTGTTATATGATGTAAAGCATATTACTAAGAAAAAGGGGCAAACTGGAAAGTTCATATGGAATGGATTCTGGGACTTCTGTACTCAAGTTTTGATATTTTAATGCTGCTGGTATTTTCTTTTAAAGTTATATTAGACTCAGGTGTCGAATCTATTTTAGTAATTTTTGATTTGTTGGACATGGACTTTTGTAGTTGTTTGTGGGGTTCAGGATATCCTCATAGGTATAGGATGTTCTTAATTATCACAATTTGTAAACTTCCTATGCTTTTTTCATTTTTTTTTCACAAATATATTTTAAATTCCTATTTTTTGTAATTTTTTTAACATATATTTAAAATCCCTATTTTCTGTAATGTGTGACATTACTTTTCCTGAAAAATATATTTAATTGAAATTTAATAAAAATTAAATTAAATGGAATGTAATGACAAAAGGAAGTTTTCCTCTATCTCATAAATTGGAACCTTTCTCTTCCGTCAAATTTGAGCCATTTCTTGTCCGTCCATCATCACATGGGGAGGATTGGGGTGTCTGATTTGGGTTCATATATGTACAACATGTCCCATATTCAGGGACAGAGCCAAGACCAGCAAACATGCTGACTAACAGTGTTGCAAGGCAGCAAGTGTAACTTGAGATGGGAAGATTTTTTTGCCAAAAAAAAAAATACAAAAAAATGAGGAATAAAAAAGAAAGAAAGAGAGATGATATAGATTTGGGATAAGGAAAGCAGAAGAGCTTATAGGGAAAAAAAGAACACAGGCATGGTACATTTTTAAATCTCAGGAACTCCAAAAGAGAAAAAAGATATTTCCATAGTGGTTTACGTGCAAGAAAGTAACCTTTTTTTTTCTTTTTTTTTTAAATGCTCTCTATTAGTTTGCCAGAAAGGCCTCTCTCTCTCGCTGAACATTTGTTTTATTTTGCGTGGGTGTGGGGGTTGTTGGGTAAGGAAAAACATATTCTGTGCTTTTTCAATTATCCTATTTATTGCTGATCAGGAAAAAATATATATATTTAAAATAAGAGTCAGAAATTAGCTTATTTAGTACTCTGATTTTGTGTTGTTTATGCTTTTGATGTACTAAGCTCCTTTTCCATCAATGTTTTGCATGTTCTATGCATTAAATATCTCAGATTAAGGACTTGACTGCTTCTTGGTTTGCTTGTCTTTTTCTTCGTATATGTGCCCTATAATATTATTTGACCATTTTTTATTATCAGTAAAATAGCTGTTTAAATATTACACTTATGGTTTTCTTTTTATTGCTGCTGCAGGCTGTAGTTAGTTTTGTCACTATGCAGCTTCAGCTTTGCACCATCTTCTTCACATTCTCTCTGGGCACCAGAACACATTATTTTGGTCGGACTATTCTCCATGGTGGTGCACGGGTTTGTTCTTTAGCTTTCTATTCATATTCAACTATTGTTCTGTCAAGGAGAATATTCTAAAGTATTGTTAATTTATCCACAGTATCAAGCAACTGGTAGGGGATTTGTGGTCCGGCATATAAAATTTTCTGAGAATTACAGGATTTACTCCCGCAGCCATTTTGTTAAAGGGTCTCTCTCTCTCTCTTTCTCACACACACACACACGATACACATGCACTTTGTCCTTCCACTTGAACTAATGCAGATTTTTTTTTATACTCTTAATATCTTCAGATTGGAAGTTGTGCTTTTGTTGGTAGTATACCTTGCGTATGGTTCTAACAATGGCAGTGCACTATCCTACATACTTCTTACTGTTAGTAGTTGGTTCATGGCTATTTCTTGGCTTTTTGCTCCCTATTTGTTTAATCCATCCGGTTTTGAGTGGCAGAAGTAAGTGATTCTTTCTCTAGTTTGACAGTATCTCAGTCTGCATATTCTATATCCACATTCTGTGTTTTCTTTTATAGGACTGTAGAGGACTTCAGAGATTGGACAAATTGGCTTCTTTATCGAGGTGGAATTGGAGTTAAAGGAGAAGAAAGCTGGGAAGCTTGGTGGGATGAAGAACTGGTATTTTTCTGCTTCAAGATAAATTTGTTGGTCAACATTCTTGATTGGCATTTCATGTTCTGGCCCATAATATGCTTTCTTGTTACATAAATCTTACAGATTTGTTCCTGTTGTATAAACATTGTTTCATGACATGGAATACCGTTTTGGCAATTAGCAAATGATGTTCTCTGAAATAATTGATGTGTGAAATGTCTTATAACAGAATATAATAAAGCAATACTTAGTACTGGGTCCTTAGGGTGAAATGAATGAATGAGATGCACCTGAATCTACCAGTACTTTAGCCCTTGAATTGAACAATAAGAACATACCTCTCAGAACCACAGTTGATTGTGGAACTGTCATTTATGGCTTCTGTTATAAGATATATGGTTTTGGTCCAGTGAGATAGTATGTTGTAATATTCATGCCTACATATGTTCTGGAGTGCACCTAATTGTGAAAGATATTCTTCATAGCCAGGTGATAGGCTGCCCTCTAAGTAATTTTCAGCATGATGTTGGGAAAATTACTAAGAAGTCCTACTTTTAAAAATGTAAGACCATCGAGTCTGTTAGAATCTAATTCATTAACAGGACTTGATGGTCTTACATGTTTAAAAGTAGGAATTCTTGTCCCTTTAATGTTTTCTGTATTTACAGTCCTGCATTGACTCTTGAATTAACAGTCATCTATAGTTCGTAACAGAATTTCAATAATAAAATATTGCTGAAATGGTAGCAATACATGCATCAAACCTTACTAGTGCAACCCTTAGTTTGTGGACTCCAGAGACCAGAATAAGAACACGAAGCATACTTGGGAAGCCACTGAAAAGTAGTTTAATTATTCATTTTGGGCGGATATTCTGAGTATTTGAATCTGTGTATATATGTATATATTAAGAATCGAGCCCTATCGAACTTTACTTACAAGCATGTTGATGAACACATTTTGTACATGTTCACAAACAAACAAGCCGAGCTATAGTTGTTTGGGATTGGCTTGTTTATGGAATAAGCTTGAAAAAACTGTTTGGAGCTCAGCTCTTATACTTGGTAAATGAACACGAGTCAAGCTCTTATAGATTGGAGCCCATGTAGTGTTTGCGAACAGGATGGCTCATTTCCATCCCTAATTATTTGTATTTAGAGGTCATTTCAAAGGGGTGAGAAATTTTTTTAGGATTTTTCTTGCTTCTGACTGCGTTACCATTTTGTGGTATTCATTTTAATTGTTTTCTATAGTCACGTGGCAAGAACATACAACTTTGTATTTCTCTGTATTATTAGTTTCAGGGGGGTGACGGGAGACCTCATGGAACATAAAATTATATGCGCGTGATGTTTGAGAAGAATTTTTTTTATTTACATAGCGTTTGAAATAAACTAATTTGTAGCATGTTTTTATCACATTTAAGATCTGCTGAAGAAATATGTTTTTCGAGTTCCTTTTTGCAGTTCTATTGATATCACTAGTTTTTTAAACGTGAATTTAATTATCAGAATCCCCAAACACCAGCTTGACGGTTAGACATTCTTTTTGTGATAATGCTTTGTGCTGCTAAAGTTCTCCTATCTCTTTTGATGATACTAACAGATTGTCTACAGGCACATATTCGAAGCTTTTCAGGGAGGGTATTGGAAACTATTCTGAGCCTTAGATTTTTTATATTCCAGTATGGGGTTGTCTACAAGTTAGACGTACATGGATCAGATACATCATTAACGGTAACAACTTTCATCATTAGTCGGATAAAAATTCATTATCCTTGTTTACGACTGTCAAATTTCTGTTCTTGTTGATTTTTTGGAGGCTAAATTTAATCTTTCCATACTTGATTTCCTTAGACTAGAAGCTAGAAATAAGTTATAGCATGCTGGCCTTTTTCTGAGACAATATGTATATGTTGGAAATTGTATGTCATGCCCCCAAGTTGGGGTTAGGGTACTCTTGACCTCTCCTCAACAAGTGAGGGTTCGCAGCAATAATTCACATAACATCACCATAAAACTAATGATGGTAAAATGCAAAAAAATAAAATAAAATAAATAAAATAAAATAAAAAATAAAATAAAATAAAAATCTGAACTATTGCCCAATCATCCACAAACCCCCTCAAAAGTTGCCAAATAAAACCCCCTGAACTATACATTTTTGTTGCAGATAGCCCCATCAGGGGATGTGCCTGTTGGATCTCACCATTAACATATCACATGCAGGTCACTCGACACACTATAAAATTTAATGACCATAATACCCTTATGAACTGAAAATACTATTGCCCCTTGTTGTTACCATTACACCCCAAGACCTCTTTATATGACTCTTGTACCTTAACACACACTATACTCTATACACACATATATAGAGTTAGAAATCACTGTTCATCGTCTTCACATGCGTGCTTTCTGAAAAAATATATATATATATATAATCTTGCAGGAAAATGAACTAATCAGTAAGAGAGTGACGCTATACTTCTAATTTTCTGAATAGAAGAAGGAGGTCGGACCAGCAAATGTCTGGTCTTCTCTTTTAGCTGATAAAAAGTCAATGAACCCGACACTTGATGCTGACCCACAAAGTAGCAATGACAGATTCCTCACGCAAGTCCATTAGGGAGCCATCCGAAGAACACCAGAATGTTGGATATCTTCTTTCTTGAAAGAGAGCAGATTGTCGGGACAATCGAAGAATTTTCATAGTTCGCCTTCGCTGGAGAAGAACCAATTGCAGATGACAGCATCGGAGTTCGCGTTCTCCGGAGAAGAAACAATTTCAGATGACGGCACCGGCGTCGGATTCAGCAACAGCTATGGTATTTTATTGTGGATTGAGATTGAGCTTTAAGATTGGGCAACTGAAACACTATCTTAGGCATTGAGGAGCAATGTCCACCGTGAACAAAGAGAACAATTACCCTTCTCTCTCAATCTTATTCCTTTCTTTCTCTCTCTAAAAATCAACCAAAGATTCATCTCTCTCAAAAGATCTGAATCAGAGATTCAATCTCCCAATACCGTAACTCGCCGGAAGCCCTTTAGAGTCGCCGCCACAGTAGGTCGTCGGCCCAGGTTGCAGTCATTGAAGAGATATAGTAGTATCCTAGAAGATATATATATATATATACACCACGCGTTTTAGCAACAGTTGCTAGCTTTTATTTTATTTTATTTTATTTTTTTACATTTGTAAGCTTTTTCTAGCTTTGCTGTCTACATTTCATTGGCCAGTGAGATTGTACTTTACATGTCATCAACTTAAGTGTATGTAGGAGATGGATCCCACAAATCCACGTGACATGACCACACGACGCTGGTCAAGCTCAAGAACGCTCCAGTAGAGCTCCTCGAGTAAAGCCACACTAGAAACCCGCATCGCAATTCTCGAGAGCGACGCCCACACAAGGGCGCTTGAGGACAGCTTCTACAGGTATGCCCACATTGAGACCAAGGTAGGATGGTCTCGAGGGTCTATATCTCTCGCTCTGCGATCTTGAAGGACCTTTGGTTTGGAGGATGAGAAGCTAGAGCTCACCTAGCCTATAGGCCTAGTCAATGAGATGATGACATCACGTGCCTCAACTGTAACACTCTCTAGCAAACTTGCAATAAGTAACTAATCAGCATATAAAAGATGGAAAATTTTCAAACTGCAACAGTAGGACATAAAGAACCAATACCAACTTCATACTCTATAAGAGAGGAAAAATACTCAGCAATGTAATGATAGGAATATGTACAATTATATAATTAGCTTCACTTATTAGACATTCTTATTGGGTTCATGTCTGACAAAACATGTTGAACGCATTTCCCATATAATATTCAAATGTAATGTGTCCTATAAAGTTGCTTTAGTCATTTAGAAAAGTCCAAGTAAAATATGCTAGGAGTACATCTTTACAGTAGCCAGCACATATATCCTCCATTTCTGCATTTGTTTTCATACCGGAATGCTAGTTTTCTTCCTTCTTTCTGATTTCTTTTTTAATGGTTTTTATCATTATCATTTTTATTCGTCCTTTTGTAAAAAAAAAACCCTTCCTCCAACCATTCACAACTTTCCTTCTCAAATAATTTTTTTGTTATTTTTAAATCTCCTCCTGTGCATTGGCCTGTCCCTAAACAAAAGATAACATTTTTCTGAAATAGAAATCTCTTCACCTTTATTCATTTGTTTAATCTTTAAACATATGTTTTATTCTGTATACAACCCTTTTTTAGCGTTTATTAATTAGAAAGGCCCCTCTAAACTTCGTAATACAGAATGGCCCTTCCCCTCAGCACAGAAAAGATAAAGAAAAATAAAGAATTAAAGAATCTTTAACATTTCCTTGTTACGTTATATATTCTTTTTCAATTAAATCCTTTAGATCATTTGATTGGACATGGTACAGTTACTAATATTTTTGTTAAATTATGTAAAATTTTATTCGGAACAAATGTTCTTACTAATGTAATATTACTTCATTTTTTTATTCTACCATAGTGTCACCTAGTATGGATGGATTTATAAACCTCAATCATGTTAATTAATCAATCATTGGCTTTATCTTGATGCATGTCCAAACATTTTCACGTGTCCTGAAATATTTCTCCATTTCATTGTATTTCAATAATGTTTTAGCAATTGAGCTGACCAAATTGACAAATCCAAAATGAATATTTGATCCTTCAGATAAACTCATTAATCTAATACTTTATCAAGATTTGGACATTTCTTCAATTTAATATCCGATACTAAAATCTTGAATAAATTTAACAAACTAACAAGAATTGTAAGGGAATAAAGGAAGATAATAAAATGACCTAATTATATAATGTCTCTCAACTTGAAAAGAGCCGATGCATCCCGTTCTTTTTAAAAGCTTTTGCTAAATGACACAAGGAACTTTATAGGCGATGAGACTTTTAATTCAAGTTTCAACCTCAAGTTTTGTTTTCGGAATGAAAATTTTGTTTGGGTTAGAAATTGAGTTCTGAATGTTATTCAACATCCATTGCTCCAGTACCTTCACTTTAGGATTACTACTGCATTTCTCCCCCTACTATTTTGGGTTGGCTACATGAATCACATTGCTATTGCTCATAAATATGTAAGGTTTCTGTTATATTATCTTTGAAAAATTATATATAGTCCCCTATATCCTTGTCCTTGTTTCATACTCGCTTACAAATGCATAAACCTTACAAAAAGTGTTGTTCACTACTACCTTTGAAAAAGTATGTATAGTCCCCTATATCCTTGTCCTTGTTTCATACTCGCTTACAAATGCATAAACCTTACGAAAAGTGTTGTTCACTACTACTGAAAATTTCTTCTTTTTCTATTTAGTGTGAATTCATTAAGAAAAGATTTTTACCAGCAAAGGGAAGAGAACTGATGTTTGTTTTGTTACACGTTCATGTATTTTTTTTAGGTGTATGGCTTATCATGGGTTGTGCTGGCGGTTCTTATAATTCTTTTCAAGGTCTGGAGCATAATTTTGAAACCTTTGAGCTTTAGAATTGCAAGTCATTATATCTGTAATGTGAACACTCAGTTGCATTTTTACTTCTATAGGTATTCACCTTCAGCCAGAAGATCTCAGTTAATTTTCAGCTGCTGTTGCGCTTTATCCAAGGTGTCTCCTTCTTGCTTGCACTGGCTGGTATAGCTGTTGCAGTGGGATTGACAGACCTGTCAATCGTGGATATATTTGCTTCTATCCTGGCATTTGTACCCACTGGTTGGGGCATCCTTTCTGTAAGTTCCAGTGCTCATCTGTATTTTTGTTTTTGACTTAATTTGCTTCTTTTGCTTTAAATTTATTGAGGGCACTACTATGATACAGTACAAGTACCATAGATCTTTTTTCTTAGCTGAATTAAACTGTGAAGCGGTGTTATTGCTGTAAATCTCTGTAGTGAGAAAGTCAATGAGACATCGAAATACTTAAGCATGTTGTCCCATGCTCTATACTTGAAGCTGCAGATGCAGATGCAGATGTTTTGGGGTCACTTAAGGGTCTAGTCAGTACATCTACTCTATATTGATGAGGGACATTTCCACACTAGTAGAATGTCATCCATGTCAGAATTGTAACGATGGTTCGGACACTTATAAAGTGACCTTAAGTTTAAAAACTGTGAACTATAAGTCAGCGTTCTTTTGGCTACGAAATGTATTCTAAAGTTCAGTTCTTAAAAAAAAATTCACACAAACATTAATCTAAGTGACCTTAGGAACATACTTGTAGAACAATGTGTTGCAGTCTATTCTGTGGTGTTGACGTGTTATGTATCCCCTTATGTCTCTGTTAGAGTATAGGAAATCAATAAATGTTTATGGGTGTTGGGAAACTTGTGTATGTACGTGTCTCAAAGTGTCAAACTTATCTGATTCCAAATTTAGGGTTTTGAAAATGTGGCTAGATATTAAACTTGTTTAATACTCCCTCCGTCCCAAAAAGAATGACCCTTTTTGGGAACCTAACTTTTTAAGAGGGTGTGTTTTAGTAGTATTTTATTGTATTGGTAGTGAATGAAATACCAAATTATTCATAGCGGGTCCACAGGGATGTGGTGGTTTACTTTTTATAAATTCAATGCGAGAAGGTTAAATTGGTAATCTTACAAAAAATTGTACTTTGACTTTTTTCAAATGGGACATTTATTTTAGGACAGCCAAAAATGAAAAGATGGACATTTTTTTTGGGACAGAGGTAGTATTACTTTTAGGGTTAAAATCCCAAAACCTTGACTATATATTGTTGTCGTATAACCCACCGGAAAGTTATTTAAGTCCCTAAACTATAAAAGATAATCTATTTCTCTTTTAATTGGGTTTGCTGTTTTTTTTTTTTTTTCCCACTGAAATGAATAAGCAATATCATCCAACTCCCAATCCTGAAAGGATCGTCAGAACTGAACATGCCAAGACAACCTACCACTATCAAGGCGATAGCAGTCAACAACCATAGCATGTCTATCAACAGCAATCCTGAACAACCTCGGGTACAGACGAGACAAAGGAAGGTCCTCACACCAAGTATCCTCCCAAAACCCGATATCCCTTCTTTCCCAGACTCTGAATCTAATGTGCTTTGAGAAATCATCCCAACCTCTCCTAATGGATTTCCAAACCCCCACACCTACAGCAGACCTGACCGGTCTAGCTGACCTTCCCCCCCTCTCCTCCCCAAGGGTCCCCATATATCACTGTGAATTAAATAGAAAGGGGAGGAACTTATTTTATTGCAAATGGGAAAAGCTACACGAGTGTGTTTTGCATACTCACAAATATCACAATGAAATGTTCCAATATTTAATTCCTTAAACAGAGAAGGAAACATGATTTTTAGAATTGCAAAAGAAGGATGTTCGAGACAAAAATGATGCAACCGTATGACATCATTATTGGAAAAAGAGAAACGAAGAGTATAAATTTGTCCTGATCATACTCGTAAGGCTCGGTGTCTCGAGTTAGTAGAGTCCTTCCTTTTCCATAGCACGTTCAATCCTCCTTCCCGAATCCTGGTCCTGAAATTCACAGTAAGAGGGATAAAACGTAACATGACAAAGTAAGTCTCTAATAAGCTTTTGACTGGACACAAGGTTAGCGGACAATTTAGGAACATGTACAACATTTTTAAGAACAAGACTAGGGGTGATATGGATATCTCCTACACCAACAACCATGGTTGTGGTTTCATCAGCAACAGTGATTTTCCTATTGCTAGGACATGGGGTATAAGTGCTGAATTGGTTTGAGGCATGTGTCATGTGGTCTGTGGCTCCCGATCTATCATCCATGAATCCACAAACAATTTCTCAGAAACATTTAATCCAATGGAGAATAAAGACTCATCTGAGAGGGCTAAAGAACAAGCACCAGAACATGGTTTCTCAAGGGTTCCTAGCAGGTTTCTTAACTTCTCTATTTCTTCACCGTCGAATCCAACATATTCTTTTGTCTGATCCTGACCCACCTGTGAGGTCATATGGACTTATCCTTGTTGTTGCTACTGCTGTCCTCCTTTGTTTCCCCATTCTCGGCTGGATGTGGGTGGTTTCCCGTGTAATTTCCAGCAACAATCCCTGGTATGTCGCAACTTTTACAGTATGTACACCAGAGATTGTCTCGGTTTGCCCCCTTTGATAATTCCGCCTTTCCATGTTGAGCATTTTGCGGTTGTTCTAGAGTGAGACCCCGCTTGTTGTCACCAAAGGCTACGAGTGCTGAGCTATCAATCGACTGAGGTTCAAGCATGATTCCTCTCCGACTCTCTTCAGCCCGAATCAATGAAATCACCTCATTAAGAGATGGTTCCTCCTCCTTGCCCAAAATTTGAATTCTAACTTGATCAAATTCAGAAATTAGGCCAGTAAGAAAATCATAAACTCGATCTTTTTCAATGAAATTTTTGATAATTACAACGCATTCACTGCACTTCAAATCAATCACCCGGTAGTAATCCAGTTCTTGCCACTAGTTTTGCTGAAAATTGGCATACTCAGTCATGGACTTGTTCCCCTGTTTTGTAGATGTTGTCTTTGTCTTGATCTCGTATACTTGCACCACATCATGAACCTTGGAGTAAGTCTGGTTGAGAGCGTCCCAGATGGCCTTCGCAGTTGGTAGGAACATGCATGTATCACTGATTTCGGGTGTCATGGAATTCCACAACCAAGACATGACCATCGAGTCCTCCTCGTCCCACGCTTCGAAACCTGCGTCACCTTTCTTTGGTCCCGTTCCCGGCAAGTGACTTAATTTCCCTTATCCTTTCAGAAAAGTTCGAACCAATTGAGACCATTTCAAGTAGTTTCTTCCATTAAGTCGGTACTCTGGTTGAATATTCTGCAGTTCACTTGTGGAACATTGAACCTGCTCTTCCTCGAGTGATTGGGATGATTGAACAGTAGTTTCTGACATTCTTCAACAATCCGCTATGAAGGCCGGACAGAAGGGTTATGCGAAAATTGGCAAAAGAAATTGCCAGAGAATGACTGCGATGAAGACAAGTAACAGAGAAAATTGGCTATAAAGGCCTGAACAGAAAGAAAAAAAAACCACTGAATTTTTTTTTTTTTTTTTCAGGAAATCCAAGCCTTATGGCTCTGATACCATGTGGTGAAATGAATTCAATTATATTGAATCTGTTAATTTTTACAAGAGCCTCTGTTGGGCTATATATAAGAAATTACACAAAGAAAAACCAGCAACTAACTAAATTTGGAAGCCCTATAATCAGGAATCCTTGATTCTCTATTAATCAAATCCCTAAACTCTAGGAAACAAATATTTACACGATTCTAGTGCTAACCTACCACTAATCAAGGAGACTAACTCGTATTTTTCCACAGGAGCATCTCTCTGAACCCCATAATGAAGCCTGAAATTCCTTTCTTGCCATATACTCCAAATAACAGCAGAAAATAAAATCTTGGACACCTTAGTAGCATGATCCCTAAGCCATATAAAGAACTGATGAAACTGATCCTCAGCATTAATAGTATGAAAAATCCAATGAAGCAAGTCACCAAACCAGCCCGAAATAGACCTATTAAAAGGACATAAATAAAACAGATGATCCCTATCATCCACAGCTCCGATGCATTTAACTCAAACAGGAACCAAAGTAATACGTTTCTTCTGCAAATTGACCATAGAAGGTAGCTTATCCCACATAGCAAAAACTGTGGTAACAGAGCACCTAGGTCTACCACTGTTCCAGCAAAGACCATATCATTCAACCTTGTCATAGTTGATTCTACAGTTATTCCAAGCTGTCTTGAAAGAAAATTTACCACATGCACATAACAATCTGTCCACCCCCTCATGAATGATGGTTGAGGCAAGAAAACTCTTAAGTGAACAAGATCAGCATGCTGAAGCATGTCAAATTCCATCCACCATTAAGCAATAAACAACTGAACTTACTGTGTCTATCCAATTGAATAAGTCTAACAACCCTATTCCCAAACTTCTGGCTGCAGTTTGCCCGTCACACCAAGGATCTGAGACTAATTTATTAAACTTACAGTTAACAACCTGAAAAGAAACATAATTCACCATAAGCTCCCTAACAGCCAGCATAGATCTCCATATAACAGAATGTGTAGAAGAAGGGATAGCACTACAATAACAAGCAGCAGCAGTGTGTCGGTTTTAAAATCAAGGCACCCATAACCTGTCCTTGTTCAAGTAAGAAGTTCCATACAAGAGATTATTTAGCTGCAGATTGAATATTAAAAATCTTTCTAATACTCAACTCACCCTCTATGTTAGTTCTGGAGACAAAGTCCCAGTTCATCTAAGGCATTCTTCTCAAACTGTCCTTGGTACCCCATAAAAAATCCTTGCACATCTTCTGAAGCTGATTGATCACCATAACAGGGAGATTAAAAACTGCACACCAGTAAAAAATTGTAGGTGTGATCACTGTCCTTAGAAGCTCCACCAACCCTGCAGTAGAAAGAAGATTATTCTCCCAAGAAGAAATTCTTCTAGAGACTTTATCCAACAAATCTGTACAATTACCTCTCTTCAGAGTAGAGGAATTGAAAAAGAAAGTAGCTTCATCCATAGACAACTTGTTCCTAGGTTGGATCAGATCCTGAAAACCACTGTTCCTCGTTGATAAAAATCCACCACCCAGTCCTTGATAAGATCAGAATCAACAGTAGAATGGCCATCATCATTATCCAACATAGTAATTGCATTCTTGTTTCTATGGTGCTGCAATTTATGATAAAAATCAG